ATGTCTCCAAAGAAGGGGCCTCCACATACCATCATATCTTCGACAGACCTACGCAATCCTTTGTCAAAGAACAAAGCTGCCTCTTCTATGTGTACTGAATGACATGTCCTTAAACCAAAGAAAAGTTTTGCAATGCCCATATATGATCGAAGCAAAATGAGCTCACTCTGTGGGTCACATAGTTGTGGAAGAAGGCCCATCAAATCAACATCATTGTCCGTTCTCTTCATGGCCAACCCGCTAATAAACGCTGCGTCTCTGCTAACAGTCCTCCAAGGAGCTTCACTCCTAAAAAAGGTCTCCCTATATCCGTTGGAAATAAATCGACACGAAACTTCCTACCATCACAGGAGTCCTAAAAAATCTGTGTTTTCTTGATGTTCAACCCAAAAATTCTCGGCTTTCAAAAATTTATTACTATTTATATCACATAAGAAAAATAATACTAGAAAACAATCAAAGGGTTACCAACAACACGTGTTATTATTAAATGATACAAACGTTTTTAAAGCAACCTAACTCGTAAAAACCCTTGCTCCTATTTGGAGAGGAAACACTGCACTACTTTCCCCTCACCAATGGCGGCGGCGGCCTCTTCTTCCCACCTTCAATTTCAATCACTCTCTTTCGCCAAACCCTAAATCAATCTTCAAAGCCGATCACTCCCAAAACCTTAATTTCTTATAAACCCGGTTCCAAAACGCTCGCTATCCGAGCTGTCATATCACAAAAACCTCCAGCAACTCAGAAATTTCAACATTGCTTCACCAAGAAAGACGATGGCTATTTGTATTGTGAGGGTCTTAAAGTTCAAGAAGTCATGGAGGCCGTTGAAAGAAGGCCCTTTTATCTCTACAGTAAACCTCAGATAACTAGAAACGTCGAGGCTTATAAGGAAGCTTTGGAGGGACTGAATTCGATTATCGGATATGCAATTAAAGCCAATAACAACTTCTTGATTTTACAACATTTGAAGAATTTGGGTTGTGGGCTGTATTGGTTAGTGGAAATGAACTCAGATTAGCCATTCGTGCTGGTTTTGATCCTACCAGGTACTTATTTTTCAGTTTCATGAACTAGTAATAACTATTTGGCGAAAATTGATTCGATTTGTGTGTGGTTTGATGCGAATAATAGATGCATTTTTAATGAAACGGGAAGCTTTTGGATGATCTTGTTCTTGCTGCTCAAGAAGGCGTATTTGTCAACATTGACAGTGAATTCGATTTGGATAACATTGTTTCTGCTGCAAGAATCGCAGGGAAGAAGGTTAATGTATTGCTTAGAATCAATCCAGATGTCGACCCTCAGGTTTGTGATTCCCTTTCTCACATCGAATTCAAAAATCTTTCATCTCTATAACACCAATAACTCAATATCTACAATCGATTTCAAATAGGTCCATCCTTATGTTGCAACTGGAAACAAAAACTCCAAATTCGGTATAAGAAACGAGAAATTACAATGGTTTCTAGATGCTGTGAAGTCATACCCCGATGAACTTACGCTAGTTGGCGCTCATTGCCATCTTGGATCCACCATCACCAAGGTATTGTAAATGTAAAACATCATATTATCATCTACCCTTTTGTGCTGACCATGGTTTGACTTTGACCGTTTTTTTAGGTTGACATTTTCAGAGATGCTGCATCAATTATGGTGAAGTTTATAGACGAAATTCGAGCTCAAGGATTTGATATTAATTATTTAAATATCGGAGGTGGTCTTGGGATTGATTATTATCATACTGGTACTGTTCTTCCTACACCCAGGGATCTCATTGACACAGTAAGCGTTACATATACATATATATATATATATTTTATATAATTTAAATAATTGATATGAAATCGTTTATATTGTTTTTATGTTTGATTTGGTTAAGGTTAGGGAGTTGGTTTTGTCGCGAAATCTTAATCTGATAATTGAACCTGGGAGGTCGCTAATTGCAAATACTTGTTGTCTTGTGAATCGTGTCACGGGTGTGAAAACAAATGGCACAAAGAACTTTATTGTGATTGATGGAAGCATGGCTGAACTTATTCGCCCTAGTCTATATGATGCTTATCAAGTAAGATTTTCTCATTTGTATAATAAGGAAATATTCGTAAATGGTTGGTGTCTTAATGCATTAAGCCATTTCTTTTTTTGGCTTAATCCATTAAATCAACTTGTCCAGTTCCATTAAAAAAAAAAATATATATTAAGTGCTTAACGTTTTTTAGAATATTGATTTTAGTTTTAAATTTAATATAAATGTAGCACATAGAATTGGTTTCACCTCCATCACCTGATTCTGCGGTTTCAACCTTTGATGTGGTGGGCCCCGTTTGCGAGTCAGCTGATTTCTTGGGGAAGGACAGGGACCTTCCTTCTCCTGCCAGTGTACATTCTACCTCCGTTGTTCTTTATTAATATAATTTTTTTTTTAGCATTTTGATTTTCTGTATAATAATGATTAATGATGAGAATTTGATGTTTACAGGGTTCTGGGCTTGTAGTTCATGATGCAGGTGCATACTGCATGAGCATGGCATCAACTTACAACCTCAAGATGCGTCCACCTGAGTATTGGGTATGTTTTTTCATCTTTGACTTTTCAAGTCAAACACCATATTTTAATTTGTAATTGTTTATTTTTCACCTAGAGTTTGCATCTATTTGTTTGATGGAAGGAAGGGATAAAGATGAGAATTTTGGATTTGAACAATGCACAATTTGACTATTGAAAGTCAACATGAATTGATTTTTTGTGAATGTTGTTAATGAAGGTTGATGAAGATGGATCTGTGGCGAAAATTAGGCATGGGGAGACATTTGAAGATCATATGAGATACTTTGAGGGACTCTAGATCTTAATCTAACTTTGATGGAAGGCCTTCATCTTTTACTCTGTTTTTGTATCTCGGATTCATGAATTTTAAGGTTTCAAGTTCTGGTAATGTCGAATTCCTTTTTTTTTTTTTTTTTTTTTTGCGATGTTTTGAAGTTGTAGTGTAATTCACTTGTGGGTTTTTAAGTTGGAGTCTGAATTCACATGTTATCGTATTATCAACATGGTATTTGATGTGAATTTTAAGTATAAGTTTATATTTATAAGTATAATTAATTTTTAGATTTTATATGATCCTTAAAATGTTTTTTGTTGTAGACTTAGGTGTTGTTTGTTTTTTTTTTTGTGACAAAATGTCTGCAGTCTGTGGACCACATCAGTAGATCTCTGCAATAGAAGAGGTGGACCAAACGTCTGCAGTTTGGAAAAAGAAGACCGTTTGTTTTTTAACATCTGCGGACTAATAAACTGAAATCTAAATAAAATGTTTTTATTTTTATAATTATGGTGTTTATATTTATTTTTATATGGTGTTTATATTTTATGTTTAATTTGGATTTTATATGGTGTTTATATTTATTTTTATAATTATTTAAGAAGTTGATTTGGCTATTTATTTATAAAACAGAACATTGAATTCAACAAAAATTAATACATAAGGGTAAAATGGTCATTTTATAGTTTAGCACAAAAATTAAGAAGTTCCAACCAAACAGCATGTTAAAAATTCAGATCTTAATAATTCAGATAATAATTCAGATTCTAACAAACAGCCCCTTAGGTATAAATGATATTTTGTGCTACTACTTAATTTATGTCATTAAACTTTTATTTGTTTATCGTTGTAACAAATGCTTTTGACCATAAAACAGATTACTCCATCGTTGGAAACTTCATAAATTAAAAATAGTTGTTTTGTATATATTAATGGATGCTATTTTGTTATGTAATTCATGAGTGTTAATTAAAAATACAATGGTCTATCATGAGATATTAAAATTTGATAGGCCAAATAAAGATAAACCGGGAAGTTATCGTGAAAGCCAAAGACAAAAGCAGTATCAGACAGAACTCTAAACATGTTACCGTTCATAAGTCATATGTATTTTAATTGTGTATATATATATATATATATATATATATATATATATATATATATATATATATATATATATATATATATATATATAGGCTTAGGTTGTTTTGTTTTTACTGAGTATTGTGTGACAAAATGCACAAATCTGGACCAATGGATGAAATTAATCAATGAACATGATTTGAGGGTGTATGATATTACATTGGGGTAACATGTAGCATATAATCACACAATTTTAAGCAAAAGGGTATTTTAGACAATTAACTACATTTATAAAAGGAAATTTTCGGATTTTTAGGGATGATTAATTTTCCTAATTTAAAAAAAATCTGAATTTTTTAATTAATTCAATTTCAAATGTTTACCGATTTTATTCTGTCAGAATATTATTTGTTAGAATGATGCTCTTTCAGAATTTTATTCTAATTGAATATTATTTTGTTAGAATGATGCTCTTTCAGAATTTTATTCTAATATAATATTATTGAAGAAAAACAAAATTTTTGGATCGAATGTTGAAAAATAACAACATTCTAATATATTCTTATACATCCAAACTTAAATACAAATTCATACATATTCTTATAGACTAAAATCTTTATACATTTTAATATAATTATACATATTCTAAAAGAATATCAAGGTCTTCAACGCCTTCTTCCAGTCATTCCTATCACAAATACAACAAAAACTAATAATTGTTAAAAAAAACATGTTACTTACAATTAACTATCACTTAATATATTCTGATAGAATACATAGAATATGATATAATGCTCAATTATCCATTCGCATCTTGGTCTCAATTATTTTCGCATATGAGATCAAAATAAATTGAGTTCGCATCTGGGTTTCAAAACTAATTTCGCATTTGGATTAATTGGATTAAGAATGCGAATGTGATTAAGGTTGAAATTCAGTTCGCATTTGGTTGATTGGGGTTAAAAATGCGAAGTCACATGTGAAGAGTGAATATGCGAAGTGAATATGCGAAGCACTCGTTCAATGAAGAAAACAAAAGTTTCGCATTTGGTCCTGTTCTTTTCAAGAAATAACTCAAATAGCCCAACTTCGCAAGTTTGAAGAACATGCAGAAATTGTAAAAACGAATACCTGTAGTTTCGCATTTTTGACAGTTTATACCCAACTTCGCAACTGGGGTCATAAAATGATAGAATAAATTCTGATAGAATATATATAGAATACATTCAAAGGTATTATAATACATTCTGACAGAATACATCGATTTTATTATGATAGAATAAATTCTGATAGAATATATAGAATACATTCAAAGGTATTATATTTACAGCTAGTAATTCCGACAGAATGCATGCCACAAGGTTAAATTCTTTAAATACTCTTTCAGACATTTCAACAAACACTTGTTAGACATTATCATCGAACAAGCCAAAAACCATATTTGATTTACTTGCAATAGTTTACATATAAACATAATTTCCAGCAACATGATTTAGAATGCATACCACAAGGTTCAAAGAGTAAATTAATTTGTGTTGATGAAAAATAAAAAGGCACAAACAACCTAGAATTGTATTCCGTAACCGAAAGAAAAACAAAATATATGGCAGACCCATTAAAGCATAGAAACGTGGTTTTCATATA